TCAAGCACCGCGTGCCGTTCCGTATCGCTGCCCGCCCGGTGGGAAACCTAAAGAAGAACCTAACCCGAGAGTGGTTTTTGGGAATAACAAAAAAATGGAAAAAACATCCATCATCCGAGGCTTTGGGGCTCAGCTCAGTGAGGTGATGCGAATGGTGACGGCTGCACTCTTGATTGCCTTTTGGGTTGGGACCCTCCAAAATGCGGCACTATGCTAAGCCTGAAGGGCATTGCAAGCATCTCAGACGCCGGGCTCGAAATGCTCCACTGGTGACATCCTTGGCTTGATAATTCGGGCTTCCTTGCGGAACGTCGATGCACAGAGCACGCTTCTCGTCCTTCTGAATCAACCTTGCAACTTGAACTTTCAACCCCTGTCCCAGGGCTGGGCCCTTGAAATGGTTGGTTCGGCGACCGAACATCCACCCAAACAAGTTGGAGGGAAAGCACGCGAAATAGAAGGAAGGCGAGGGCTTGGGCAAGAAAAACCTCGTCACATGTGTCAACGCGAAGCTGCGCAATGCAACTCTTACGAGAGCTGAAAATGTGAAGGTGAGGGTAAGCAAGAAGCAGGGTTTCCTGTAAGATTTGTTCAAACCGTTGGGTGAGGAGATCCACCACTTTAATCGCTCCCGAGTAGCAGCATCATGCCGAGAAGAAAGTTGTGCACACCCCTGCCGGCAGAGGATCTTGCAGGTACACCGTGTGAGATACATAAGCAAAAAACTCACCATAACACCTTCTGGCCGGCCTGTAAGCACATGCAAAATGTCTGAACCTGGTTCTGCTTGCAGACATAATTTTGAAAAATCCTGAGCCGCCCTAATTACTTCTGTTTTGCAGGGATTGAGCTTGGTTCTGCTTGCGGAAATAGTATAAAAACCTGAACCGACCCAAAAGACAAGATACGGGCGACAGGAGCCCGAGAAAAGAAACAGCTACTGTTAGAGATGATGGAGAAGAACGAGGTGGCCTTCTCCGTCGTTGGCGACATCTCTAATTCTCACCGGAGATTCAAGCACCGCGAGGAGGAGCTAGGCTTCCTGGGCTGCCAGATAGACGAGGCTATCGACATCGTCTACGTCAATAAGGTGGGCACCTTTGGCGTCTGCTGCGCTAGCTATTGGTGGACTAGGATAGTTGCTGCGGGCCTCAGGGCCACCCACCACTTGCTAGGCAAGCTTCCACTGCATCTCCTCCTATACGCGGACGACCTGGAGTCGCTAGCTACTACGCTAGAGGTCGGATGGGGATGGTACTTAGCTATCTTTAGTTGTCCGCGATGGGCTACCCCTTCAAATGGTCCAAGAGTCGGGGAGGATTCCGAGTCGAATGGCTGGGGATGGAATCCAGCTACAAGCTAGGCCTCACTCAGAGGCGAGCGTCCTGGCTAGTTAGCTGGCTAAGGGAGTTCGAGAGGGCCAAGTGACTACGAGAGAGATGGCCCAAGGCCTAGGCCGACTCGGCTTTGCAGCTATTTTGCTAGACTGGGAGAGACCCTTCCTAGGGCCGCTATACGCCTGGTCCGCGGCTATTCAAGGGAAGCAAGGGCCGATGAAAATTCCGGCTAGGATCAAGGTCCTTTTTTGCTGGCTAGCGGATAGGCTAGAGACGGGCGATCGTGTCCAGAGACCCGCTAGGCCGCCCGCAGGCGACGAGAAACTTGTCTTCTTTACTGGTGCTAAAGCCGAAGACGGGCGAGCATGGATAGGCGGTTAAAGCCGAAGACGGGCGAGCATGGATAGGCGGTTTTCTTGAAATGGTGCCGGGGTGCCACGGTCCGTGGTTCTCACTAGAAGTTACACGAGATTGGGCACCATGGGCCTTTTCCAAGGATAGCCCAAGCAAAGTGATAGCTTCACTCGGGTTGCTAGCTACCTTGATAGCGGTGAAGCTTTGGGTCCCAGAGTCCAAGGACCGTCAAGTTTCGAAGCTGGCTATAAGGGACTATACGGACAACCAGTCCAATGAAGCCTTGGTCAAGATGTAAACTACTACGCATGTTCCCTCACACACAGGCGTTACAACTCAGGTAGCTTATCATCTGGTTGTGCGTTAAAATCGAATTACGTGAATGGCTCAAGCTCCCCCTAAGCTGGAAGCATTAGGGTATTCATTTTGTTGAAGCCATTCACTTCGAGCTGCATTTGAATCCACGCAGAGCTCTGACATCGCGATTGCAAAACGTGAAGAGTGAACTTTGGGTTTTGCCTTACAGTCAGTTTTGCTGCTGTATCGGACAGTTACCCTTTTACAGATTAGCAGCCGTAGGGTTGCAAGCGTGGATATATGCTATCGATCGAAGGGAGCTTAGGGTCCGCCAGTACGAACCAGACAGCTACCTTTGGGCATTCTATGAGATGTCGCACCAGCTGCACCTGCACGTGGTATTTCAGTAAAGGATGCGTCAATGTGGCTTGGGTCATCCACCCCTGGGGAAGACGTGCTTTCGAGGACTTCTCGAAGACCAAGATCTCCTTTGGCGAGTGGTGCGGTTCGGGAAATCTCCACATCGTCAAGACAGGGAAGCGTTTCTCCAAGGCGCAAGAATCGGTCGTTCAGAAGGCCAAGTCTAGTCCCGAAACGAACCAGCGTTCCCAAGAAAGAAGTAGTTCTCGATTGATCAGGAGGAAGGCGACTTCTGCAAAAGTAGAAAGATCTGATGATTCTGATCTTCACACTACACGGAAAATTGGTGACGCTGGATTGGTTCGCCCACCAGCAGAATCGCTACACGAAGATAATGGCGGCATTAACCTGGAGCAGGCTATCTCACTGCTGAAGGCTGAACGGGAATCCAGAACCAAGCATTTGCGGATACTGCTGCCCTAAGAACGCACCTGCGAATGAAGAACAGCAATGTAGAGGGGCAGATGAACGCATACAACAGTTGGATCGCTGGAGAGCAATCTCGGAATTACAAGCTCAACACCTTAACAATAGGTCTGGATGACACGCGTGAGAAAGATTCCGTCATTGATTCAGCATTTGCACGAAATTGAGTCAGAACATCAAAAGCTACATGGGAAGTTCAGGCATGAGGCAGCCGTTGGTCATCTGAGAGGTTCGGTTGTCGACTTTGAGGCTGTCCGATCGGAGTTGGTCAAGAGATTGAATACCAACGCCAGGCTGGATGCGTTGCCAGAACAGTCCATGCACCAGGTCAGGGACGAACTGCACCTTGCCGTTTCTGGTTTCAGGGCTTCAGAAGAGGAGTCAGAGAGCGAGCAATACAGAGTATTTCTGGTTCGCGCACAGGAGATTGCAGGAATGGAACAACAGGTTGCGGATCAGGTTGCTAGAGTATCCCATGCCGAACATCGAGTGAACGAAGAGCATGCAGCGATTTGCCGTCACAAACAAATGCATGACTATGAAGCACAGCAGGAGTTGGACAGACTAAGGAGCGAGTGTAGTCAGAGTCGCATTGATTTCCTTGGGGCCATCAAGGACGCAGGTGCGCTACAGAGAGAGCAACTGAGGAAAGACGAACACACTTCCCATCTGCAGCGATCCCTGGAAGAGGCAAACAGTGGTCCGTCTAACAGCTCCTGGCAAATGGTTAATTCCCCAGATGATAGTGAAAGAAAAGATTTCGCAAAGCAGTGGATCAGCTACAGAACGTCTGAGCAACTCAACTCAGCATTGACTATGAAAGACGAGGAGACCAAGGTCACGACACGAGAATCTCGGAGAGCAACGGTGGCCGCACCCTCGGAAAGTGTTTCCTGAAGTCGTCCTGATCAAGAGCTACCGAGTGGGGGTTCTGCGTTTCTCACCAAGTCTGCAACTAATTCGATTCTAGCTCTAGCCACGGCAGGAGCTCCACTGTTTGACACGATCACTAGCTCTAAGTACCAGGATGATGTGGGATTATTTCAGATGAAAGCATTCGGGCCTGGTTCGCCACCCGTTGGTCAGCAGCAAGAATCCTCAAACAACCGTCCAGCGGTCAGTGACTACAACGTGAAACAAAAAGAAAGAAACGATTCTTTACATGATCCAATGAGGGTCGGCTGTGCGACTGGTAGCGCTTCCACTTGGCCCGTAGCTTCAAGAAGGTTATCTTACAAAATCTTAATGGGTAGAGATAAAGGGCCATACAAAGCCGGAAAATGCGTTCTACGGCACGTGTCAACTGAGCAAATGCTCACATAGGAAATGACGCAAATCAAAATTGACATTGCAACAGCAATGTGGCGTAGCATGGCAAAGCCAGCATTCAAGATCAGTCAAGTTTGACAATTGGTCGTCAAGAATCTGCTCAAGTGGGCGTCCGATCCAATCATCAGCGTCACTGCAAGCTATATACAGCGAAGCTATGTACTTCTTCTTCCTTCGCCGCAGAGAGGGTCCTGCGCTGCGATGACGTCCTCATGGTTTTCATGAGGGAACCCCAAGGTTGCATACCTGGTGACTCCGGCCCGGTAGGCCCCATGAGCGAGCCACAATTTTGCCTGAGCATTTAACGCCTTGATCAGTAAAGCGTGCAATTTGCAAGGCCAGCATGCCAGGCAGGCTGCTCAATGCATGGGGATTGGCCTGAGCTCCCCAGGTGTCGATGAGGTTTTGAATGCTGTGCTCTTCATCTGGGCTCAGAGCTGCAGACAAAGGCAGGGGCCATGTGGTTCCACAATCATCCGCGTGCATCCCCTACTTGAACCCTAGATTCCCACCTACCTACCTTGCCGGCTCGGAAGACTCCAGGCATTAGAAACCTGCAAAAACTCCGACGAGTCGTGCTGTCGACCTGGGTTTGACCAAGCGCTAGTGATGGATTGCCATTCCACGGTGCTCCGTAACAACACAGGCCGTGTCTGGGTGGAGAGCCAGCCGATGTATCTTATGAAAGGTGAATGGCCAGGGCTGTGCGATGGGCTTCCTGGAGATGCGAGATGGTCCACATCACTGAAAGCACACTAGCGTTAGCGTGGCAGTAGTTGCTGGGGTTTCGTAGCTGCAAGGTTTTAAGCTGCTGCCGTCCTTCAGTATGTAGAGAATTTACAAGTCTTGAAGCAGACGGTCGACTGTGTTCGCCAGTGGCGATCTGCCGAGCTTGGCTGGCCTCAGAGTGGCCAATATAAGGTGGGTGCACGAGTTTCTGCTGATCTTGCCGAGCAGGTAGAAGGCCTGTTGAGATTCCTGAGACCGGTTTTGAATCTCGAGCGTGAACGGGACGATTTCGGACGTCATTTCCGCTGTCAGCTTCCGCATAGCGTGAAAGCGGGAAATCACACGCGGGTGGACCGTTAGCATCTTCAAGGTGGCGAGCGACTCCGTCACTTCCTTGAGCGTGAGGTGCGGCTGGTCCGACGACGCATACTCCTTCTTGTCCTGATCTCATTGCAGATAGGGGAACGCTCCGTTCACCACCAGTCCCCTCTTCTCTGCCACCTCTCTCAGCTGCGGGTCGGTTTCGAGCTGTTTGACCCGATTCAGCATGGCGTCCAGCATCGAGCCCAGTAGCACCACTCTCAGAGGCTGTGTCACCTGGCTGGGCGACTTCTCTTTTTGTTCCCGCCAGTGCTTGCCTACCAAAAAGAGAGCCTGCACTATGCTCCAGTCTTCCGAGGCTGGCTTGCCCTGCTCTCGATTTTTGAGGAACACGATTAACTGCGTGTCCTGTTGGAGTATCGAGATACTGTCCTCCTGACGTATCAGATGGCGCCCCATGGCTCGAACTATGTTTTTCAGGTCGTCTGAAGAATGCGCTGGGTTGGTGCAACTGCTTGATCGTTCTGGTCCTCCTTGCGCTTCTGTGTGCTGTCCACCGGCATGGTGTGCCGTGTCCGTCTTCGGAACCGTCGTGGAGGCTTCTGATCCCGCAGTGCTCGGAATGGCCGGTATGAAGCCTGCGAAGGCGTTGAGCTCCTGAGTCGCCCGGACTAGCTCAATACCTGTGCCCAGCTCTGGACACTCTAAAGATTTTGCAATGCGATTCTTCCTCTCTTGAATTAGTTGCCCTTGGATTGCTCTGAGGACCTCGTGCATATCCTTCACCTGGGTGACATCCCAGGATTTTGTTGATTTGGACTTTGTTTCCAGGATGTCAGAGTGGGTGCTTCCCATCCTAAGGCTTTCAAGTATGCCACCGCTGCTCCAAGGGATCCTTGCTGCGGTTTTCCACGGGTACTGCTTGGCACTGAGGTGGACTCCCAGGCCTTGGCCAGGTGGTCCTTGTGTTCTGACGGCCAACTTTGGATGATTTTCCCATGACTGAAAAGTGCTGCCCGTGGATGGCGCAGGCTGGATCCTCCTCGCTGACTTGAGTGGTCATTGCCCAGCATGGGTTGGCCTTGCGGTTTCAGCATGAGTGTCTATGCAAAAGGTGCCCGCAGGACCACAACACTGGGCATGCGTTGCGATGAGCTTTGGCCTGCGTCTTGTAACTTTCGCCGCGCCAGGTGCAGGAACTTGACAGTTTCGAGCCCAGTGACACGCATGGGAGTTTTGCACTTGACTCCGTGCTCAGGGCAGTAGCTCTGCTTGCACAAACTGCGAATGTGGCGGCAGAGGGTTTGATGAGACCCTGTTTTGCAAGCGAAATGGTGTCTGGCCTATGGAAAGCTGGAACGTTGTCCTCCTCAGCAGCATCGGTCCCCGACGTGTGCGTCCCATGAGCAGGACTGATGTCTGAAGAGGTGGCCCCTTTTGTTGAGGGTGTGTGGAACACAGGACAAGCTTTCTGATTGAAATGAGACATATATGCCGGCCAGCCGCTAAATTGTTGAGAGGGGACTGTTGTGGCGTG